TGGAGCATCATCCCCTCACCAAATGTTGAAGGTTTGACTCCCAGTCAGTGCACATACCTAGGTTGCAGATTTGATTCTCCCCAGTCAGAGAGAGAAAGACACCTCTCTCTCTCTCTCTCTCTCTCTCTCTCTCTCTCTCTCTCTCTCTCTCTCTCTCTCTCTCTCTCTCTCCTCTCCCTCAAAAAATCAATAAACATATCCGCAAGTGAGAATTAAAAAACATTTTTTAATGGGCACAGGACTTAAATATGTACCTCTCAAAAGAAGCTACACAAGTGGCCAAAAAGGACAGAAGAAGGTGGTCAACATCACTGATCATCAGGGGAATGCAAATCAAAAATCATAATGAGATGCCACCTAACACTCATTAGGATAGCAATTATTTTAAAAATAATGAGAAAGAAAAAAACAGGAAGGAAGGAAGGAAGGAAGGAAGGGGTGTTGGGAACCGCCCTGACTGGTATCAGAGGCTGAAACCCCCGCCTAGGCTAAGGCTAAGGGAACGCGCAACAGCTGGCGCCCAAACGTGGGGCAGCGATTTGGGACCACAGAGGTGGGACCCCGTTCGAGACCACTTGGAACTAGCGGCTACAAGCCGTCGCTGTGGACAACGCATCAACTTCGGGTGGATTTGCGCGCTAACAGCCCAGGTAAGGGCCGACGACCCTGAACTCTTTCTCGGGCATGTCGTGGGATGCGTTGAATTTTCAGGGAAGTAGGTCTTTCTTTTCTAGGTCGTTTCTCTCTTGCGACCACCTATAATTGGGTAAATAGTAATTTAATTCTCAAGTTTGAAAAAACAAATGATTTGCCTTGAAGAAAGTAATCAGGTGATTTATTTTGGCTAATTAAAAGTAAGTAAAAGGAAGCTTTTTCTTTAAAAAAAAAGGAAGGTAAACATAGGTTGTAACTTATCTAAAGGGCAGAAATCTTTTCTGCGTATATTACAACAAGTTCTTAAAGAAGCAAAGTATAAGAAAGTATAACAAAGTATAACAAAGTATAAGAAAGAAAAGCATTTGGTTCAGCTTTTGCAATCTATAAGAAAATATTGTCCTTCATTTCCTGATAGAGGGACGTTAGACATTGATGATTTGGGAAAAAGTGGGTGAAATGTTGAAATCTTTGCAAAACAGTGGTATATCTATTGGTGTGCACACCTTTGTAACCTGGAGGCTTGTCAGGGATTCTCTTGAGTTCATTTGGGCAAAGAAAACAGAGCTAGACTGTTGAGGAGGAATCTGATTCTGACAGTGAAACGGTGTGCAAATTGAGTGAGCAGATCGAGGAGGCCCCACCTTCACCCCCACAGAGAAGGATGGATTTTGCTCTGTATCTGCTCTGAAAAAGAAATTGAGGATTCCAGGGAAGGTTGAAACTTCACACTCTAGGCATGTAAATGGGAAACTGTAAAGATAAATGGAAAAGTAAAAGTTTTAGGAAAGAAGTTATGTGATGTTAGTTAATAATTGAAGGTATAAGGCATGGAAATGCAATCTTGGTGAATATCAGAAGGAGTATGAAAGAAAGATTAGAAGGTTTGTGAATGTTTCAGAAAGTCTGTGGAAGTAAATGTTTTAAGAAAGAATTATGTGGTGTGTGTTAGTAATGGAAGGTCTAAAGCATGGAGATGCAATCTTGGTGGATATCAGAAAGTGAATGAAAAAGAATAGAGAGTTTGTGAATGTTGCAGAAGGTCTGTGGAAGTGAAAGTTTTAAGAAGCCTGGTAGATAGCAGAAGGAAAAGGATTTTCCTTCACACTTTATATTTTTCTCCCTACCTGATCCCTCCAGAATTTGGCATTCTAAAGGAGTGAATAATGACATAAGGTTTCTTTGCATAAATCTAACAAGACCAGTCGTTAATAGTGGTTATGATTTAATTGTGTCTTCCAACTGTTTCCAAATCTGTCATCTCCAGAATATGACCAAAAAATGAATGAATCCAAATGGCATTATAGCATTTAACAATGCACTGCTCTCCTTATGAGTCCGACAGTTTGTTAACACCTGGTTGCACTTATGGTTTAATCAATGCTACTTTAGAATTAGTCCAACAGGCCCAAATAGATCAGGAGATCCTGACCCGCCTTTCTGCAGTTGAATCAGCACTGGACTGGATTGGCGAACGCCAGGGACGCTCTCGTGACTCGTCAGCACCTAACTTGTGACCCTGGTTTCTCCAGACTGTGTGTCACACCGCTACAGTGGAATTCCAGCCAACATACTTGGACTGATATACAACATCGCTTGAGGGGAGCTTTCTCCACTAACTTAAAAGGACAAATTGATAAATTGCAGTTGGAGCTACATCATCAGCTGCAGGACATTCAACGTTTAACCAAACAGGACATTTTTCGAGCCCTTAATGAAAATATTAATTGGCTGAATCCTAAAACATGGTTTGATGGAATTAATTTGAGAATTTGGGTTTTTGGAGCTGCTGGTTGTTTACTGATTGTGATATTGATTTGTGTACTTCGGTGTATTTGCAAATTGTTTTCCCAGGGTCGTATCAGAGACCAGCAAGTAGCCATCTTTATGGAACCCTTAGCAGTCCTAACAGAAAACAAGGGAGAAGGTATGAGAAACCACTCTGGCAGGCGTAAAATTAAAACTCAACACCCACGTAAGAAAGTAGGTGATGAGTCGGTGCGCAGAACTGCACCTGTTAAGAAATCCTCTCGTAAAAAGTCAGGCTTGCATTATGCTCAAACTGCCATGTGATTTGCCTTTCCTGATATCCATGTAATTTCTCTCAAAGATTGAAATGTAATCAGACCTATTACTTTTGTTTTTCCCTTAATATGTTTTCTTGCACTGAATTTAGAAATTTAGGTATTCACAACCCATAGAATTTAGTTTCTGCTTTATATTTCTATTATTGCCTTATGATGTATATAGATGTTGCTTTTCTTCTGATTTGCATTCGAAAACAGCAAAAGTAGGTTTCACAGGCTTAACAACCACAATTGATTTTAAAAAACTAAAAAAGGGGGATATGTTGGGAACCGCCCTGACTGGTATCAGAAGCTGAAACCCCCGCCTAGCTAAGGCTAAGGGAACGCCCTTGGAACCGTGAGCCGGCAAGGAGACAAAAGCTTATCTCCCTGGCAGGAATGCTGCTTCTGCTGCTGAACCCCAAAAAGCTTGGTCGGTTAGCCAAAGACGGGTAAGATTCCCCACGGGGGGAACAACCCAAGCCAGGCACGATCACTTTTGGGAGGCCCCCCAAAAGAAGGACTTGGGGGGGCTGCAGCAAAAGGGGGTGATGGACCCTCGCTCCTCGGCTTTGACAAAGTCTGAGTTCTCAGCATCCGGAAGAAAATCTCCTTATCTCTCGGTGGCCTTAGTTCCCGCGCTCCACCTAAGCCTGAAACAATGACGGGGTAGTACAGCTCGGTACTGGGAAGTGCGGATTTCCCAGGGTGATCAGGCCTAAGAAAGAACATGTAAATTACTGTGAAACCTTCTTTGTTCAAGAATGCTCTCAGTTGAATGAGAAGGGTCTTAGGAGGAAGCTAGTTTGTTCCTCAGCCTTACAGCTCTTTGACCCCCAACTCAATAGACCGGCAGAGTTCTTTGTTTTCTATAGTTCCTTACTTCCCCTGGTGAGTGCTGTACTTTACCTGAATTATTATGCAGGATGAGCCTAATAAAAGCAGGTATGGACGATAAATCAGCGCGCTCCCCACTGGGGGGGGGGGTGGCCATTTCTGTCCCTACTTCCCCACAGAAACTAGTTTGTCTCTGTGCATGTGTTGTTATTTCTCGCGTGTTTATTGTCGAGCCATCCACAGCATTCCGTGGTCACTGCTAGCCGGTGACCCACGCGCAACAAAGGGGAAAGAAAGAAAGAAAGAGAGAAAGAGAGAGAGGAAGAAGGAAAGAGGGAAAGCAAGAAAGAAAGTGAGAAAGCAAGGAAGAAAGCAAGGAAGAAATTAATAAGTTTTAGCAAGATATGGAGAAATTGGAACACTTGTGTCTGCTGATGGACATGTAAAATGGTGCAAACACTATGGAAAACAGTGTGGCACTTCCTGAAAAAATTGAAAATAAAATTACCGTATGATCCAGCAGTTCTTCTGAGTATATACTCAAAAGATGTGAAAGCATGGGATCGAGCAGATATTTGTATATCCATGTTTATAGCCACATTATTCACAATAACTAAAATGTGGAAACATCCAAAGTGTCCATCAATGGATGAATGAATGAACAAAATGTAGTATCTACAAAGAGCCTTAAAATGGAAGGAAATTCTGACACATGCTACAATATGGATGAGTCTTGAAGACATCATATGTATAAGTTAGAGTTCTGCAGAGAATGAAAACCAACAGGATACATGCTTATATCCTGACAGATTTATTTTTAAGTTGGTTCATACAATTATGGAGTCTTGGTGAGTCCAAAATATGATGGGATAGACTGGCATGCTGGAAACTCGAGGAATGGTTGTAGTTTAAGTACTAAGGCTTTCTTCTGGCAGCATCTCTTCTTTCTCTGAAGATATCACTCTGTTCTGTTAAGATCTTCATCTGAATGAATGAGTTACACTCGAATTAAACCAGAAAAGTTGACATTCATGCTGCCTGTCTCTACCAATATAAGTAGAGGCAAGGATTGAATCTTTATGGGCACTTTATTCAGATGCTGACAATCGGGAAAGGTGTAAGATTATGTACCCTCAAAAACTGTCTTAACATCTCATCACAAGCTGACCTTTCTTTTTTCAAATTATTTATGTATATATATTTTATATATTCATTTATATTTATAATATATAATATATATTTTAAATTTATGTATATACATAAATGAATTAAACAGTTTCATAGCCATACAAAAAACTGATTCCATAAATAAATTATCATTAAGATGCCTTTAAAACAGTAAGCTTACAGAAAATCACTGTGTTTTGGTCCAAGACATGTTTTTTTTTTCTTCGGATGACAGACAGATGTATGTAGCCAAATCTATGAATAAGTGTACTTGCCTCAAATGTACAACATAAATACAGAAATGATGAACAGAAGACTCATAACCAGTACTGGAACAGGGCCAACTTTGAGGCCAGACAAATCTTCCATGTAGAAGTGCCACATTCCCCTAGTGCCTGCTGAGGTCATCCCGCAGCTGGCATTTTTCCTCTGTTGGACCATGGAACCTGCCACCAAGGCAGGTACTGCTTTACTGGGAGAGTGTCCTGAAAGTGGCACAATAGTGCCACTGGGGGTCAGACCAGGCATGTTGAAAAGTGGATGGTGTCAGGGGACCAAAACAGATGACTGGGAAGTGCTGGAGCACTCAAAGGACCTGCAGCTAAAAAATAAATTATATTCTATTGTTTATGCTATTATAGTTGTCCCAGTTTTTCCTCCTCTGCCCCCCTCTACCCAGCCCTGTCACCACCTCAGGCAATCCCCACACCATTGTCCACGCCCATGGGTCCTGCATATATGTTCTCTTGCTACTCTATTCCCTATGCTGTACTTACCTCCCCATGACTATTCTGTAACTACCAATTTGTACTTTTTAACCTCCTCCCCTCTTTCACCCATGCCCCAACCTCTTTCCGTCTAGCAACCATCAAAATGTTCTCTGTATCTATGATTCTGTTTTGTTTCTTGCTTATTTTGTTTGTTAGAATCAATTGTGGGTAGATATGTGTTTATTGCTATTATATTGTTTTTATTTTCCTTTTAAAAATATTTCTTCTTTGAATTTCTTACAGGTTTTATTCATTTATTTTTGCAAAGAAGGGAAGGGAGGGAGAAAGAGAGGGAAAGAAACATCAATTGATTGCCTCTTGCATGCCACTATCTCAGCACCTGGCCTGCAACCCAGGCATGGGCTGCAACTGGGAGTCAAACAAGCCACCCTTTGGTTTGTAGCCTGATGCTCAATCCTCTGAGCCACACCAGTCAGGGATGTTCACATTTTTCATCTTCTTCTTTAACATTTCATATAGTACTGGTTTGGTGGTACTGAACTCCTTTAGCTTTTCCTTGCCTGGGAGGATCTTAATCTGTCCTTCAATTCTAAATGATAGATTTGCTGGGTAGAGTAATCTCAATTGTAGGTCTCTGCTTTTCATCACTTTCAATTTTTCTTGCCAATCCCTTCTATCCTGTCATTTCTTTTGAAAAATCCACTGACAGTCTTATGAGAGCTCCCTTGTAGGTAACTAACAGCATTTCTCTGTTGCTTTTAATATTCTTTCTTTGTCTTTAAACTTTGCTAACTTAATGATGATGTGTGTTGGTGTGGGCTTCTTTCAGTTCATCTTGTTTGGGACTTTCTTCACTTCCTGGACTTGCATGTCTATTTCCTTCACCAAGTTAGGGAAGTATTCTGTCAGTATTTTTTCAAACAGGTTTCAAATTTCTTGCTCTTTCTTCTCCTTCTGGCCCTGCCTTTATGTGCATATTGGTACACTTGAAGTTGTCCCAGAGGCTCCTTACACTATCCTTATTTTTTAAAATTCTTTTTCTTCTTCGTGTTCTGATGGGTTGTTTTTTGCTTCTTGTATTCCAAAGTGCTGATTTGATTATCAGATTCATCCACTCTACTGTTGATTCCTTGTATATTGTTCTTTGTTCCAATCAGTGTATCTATCATTTGTTCCTGACTGGATTTTTTTATGTTGTTGAGGTCCTCACCAAGTTCACTGAGTATCCCTATATCCATTATTATGAACTCTGCATCTAGTAGATTGCTTGTCTCCATTTTGTCTAGTTCTTTCTTTGGAGTTTTGTTCTGTTCTTTCATTTGGGCCATGTTTCTTTGTCTCCTCATTTTGGAAGCTTCCTCATGTTTGTTTCTATGTATTAAGTAGTTCTGTGACATCTTCCTGGCTTGGTAGTGTGGCCTAACATAGTAGTAGGTATCTGTAGATTTCAGTGGCACAGCTTCCCCTCTTACCCAAGCTGGGTACTCAAGGTGTGCCCATGATGAGGGGGGCCATGTACACCCTTCTTTTGTAGTTGAGCCTTGACTACTGTTGGAATGTCCAAGGTGAGCCAGTGAATGTGTTCTGTCCGGGGTCACACAGCATAAGCTATAGAGTGATCCAATGGCTGCTACTTGTGTTGGGCTTGGAGATGCCCAGGTAAGGCCATGCTGTGAACCAAGGCTGGCTGCTGCTAGTTTCGGGCCTGGGGAAACTTAGTGAGAGGTACAGGACCCACTAAAGCCAGATAATATATTTGATGGAATTTAAGGAAATATAGAGCATGGCCCAAGACACACCATTTGTATGGAAAAGCAACTAAACACATCTTGGAAGGACCTGAAAGTTGGGTGGGACAGGGCCTTAAGGAATCACCAGGGTGGGACAAGCAGTGTGAGCCAGGTTGATGATTTCTCAAATATGGCACCTGCCTGCCAGCTCTGTAACTCTGTGGGAGGAAGGCTCAGAAAAAGAATAACAGTCTCTGACAGTCCTTCTGTCTGGAAGTTGCCTCCCAGGTCTCACCCTGAAGGCAGACAATTCAGTTTCTTCCTATATGTCTCTGATGTTCTTCAATCAGCTACCAAGTAAGTCTGTGTGGACCATTTAAGAGGAATTGCCTGACCTTTTCATAGGAAAAGAAAGGGAAAGTAAGGCTTTTTTTAAAGGTTAATCAAGTAAGAAAAACAGTGATTTTCCTAGTACTTCTTTATCTGCTGATCAACAATCCTTTATCTGCATCATGGACTTTCCCTCCCTAGAACACAATGGTTCAGATACCTTCTCCATCCCCTTGCAGACCCCCAGGGACACAATGGTTGAATGGCTTGTTGACCTACTGGAGTCATGCAGTTCATGCATTCCAGTTCTAGAACAACACATTTTCACATGCATTAATCACTTGAGCCTGTCAACTGTAACTAAGGCTAAGATCCTTAACTCTTGAGTTCCCCTATGGTTAGTTTTCAATTATCTTATTTCTGTAAGATTAGTTTAATTAAAGAAATGCAAACTAAAATCACATAAAAGCAGATAAGATTATTTAAAAATCATTTTGCTGTTGAATAAACAGTCCTTCCACATATTAGAAAACATCCTGCAGTCAATCTGATGTAACTAGAAGGATAAGATACATACATTAATGGTGGTGTTACAATTCATACAAAACAGAGTTTAGTACATTTGACAGAAGTTGCACATTTTCCAGCTTGGGCTATGCTAGCATTGTTTTTTTTTTAAATATATTTCCCTGTCCTTTAGAGTTACCCTAGGACTCCAGTTATCTTTCCAGTGGAGTATAAGTGCCTATAAGTCATGAAATGAAACTTTGTCTGACTTAGGTTCCAGCCCACTTTTCTTCTAGTTGGCTTTCTGAGGATTCTGTCTTCCAAGCCTGGAGTAGCACCTTATCTCAAAGGAATGTACTGAACTTGTGGGGGAGAGGTTTCTAATACAGCAAAGGTCATTAACCACAGCTAAGTTCTGACGTAAATGTTGTACACAGTTCTTTACCTTCACTTCTTAATCTACATACATTTCTCCCACCCCAATCCTGTCTGAATTGGTCCTCTGTACACAACTTTATAAGGACTCATTTGAATTCCATTTCAAGGAGCCACCATTATCCTGAGCAGAGAAACAGGTAAAACTTGATCCCAATAGAGATGGGTTTCTTGACACAGTTTGGCTACATTTTTCTTTTTTGAAAAGATTTTGTTTATTCTTAGAGAAGGTAAGGGAGGGAGAAAGAGAGGGAGAGAAACATCAATATGTGATTGCCTCTCATCCACTCCCCACTGGGGGACCTGGCCTGCAACCCAGGCATGTGCCCTGGACTGGGAATTGAACCGGTGACCCTTTGGTTCACAGGCTGGCACTCAATCCACTGAGCCACACCAGCCAGGGCTTGGCTACATTTTTCTTCAAGGTGTTACTCATCCTCTCTACCTTCCCAGAAGCCTGAGGTCTCCATGCCATGTGGAGTCTCCACTTCATTCCTAAAACTTATTAAACTTCCATGTAATTTCTGAAACAAAAGCAGGTCTGTTATTACTCTGGAAGTTGCTGGATAAGCCAAAGTGAGGAATTATTTCTATCATCAAGACTTTCATTACCTCTGAGGATTTCTCAGTTTTAGTGGGACAGGACTCTTACCCATCCTGAAAACGTATAAACAAAGTCTAACAAATATTTCCTTCCTCAGACCTTTGGCATCTGGGTAAAATCTATTTGCCAGTCCTTGCACAGGTACTGCCCTTGGTATTATTTCTTTTATTTTTTCTGATGGGGATTTGTTTTAGGATCATTCTTCTGGCACACATGGCTTTAGAAATGCCAGGACTTATGAACCATGGTAAAATATAGGTGGTTCAAAATCCCAGTTCTCACCTTTCTCTAAGTTTGCAGTCGAATAGTCAGGGTCGAATTGTGTTAAGTCTAGAACAGGTACCAAAGGCATTATAAATGTTCCTTTAGCAGCCTCTTTTGCTGCTCTATTCACCAGATTGTTTCCTCTAGCCGCTTAGGTGTCTTTCTAATGCCTGGGACAGCACATAACTACCACATGGAAAGGCACCTGACCAACTTCTGGTAATTTAAAAATTTCTGTTGCATGCTTAATGTTCCTTTTACTGGAGGTTAATAGACCTTTTTCCTTCCAGATTAAACTATGTGCATGCAAAATTGGGAAAGTGTGCCTCGAGTCAGTATACACATTCACTTTCTTTTCATATGACAATTCTAGTGCCTTCATCAATGCATTAGTTCAGCTTTCTGAGCAGAGGTTCATGGTGGTAAGGGCTTGGTCTCTACTATTCCTTCGAGAATCACAACAGCACATGCAGTCATTGTTATCTTTGTCTATATAATTTCGTCTATCTTTCTACCTCTTCTAAAGGATGTCCTGTGAATCAATTCTTCTAGAATCAACTTCATCAATTATTCCAGCACAGTCAAGCATTAGCATGACCAAGGCTCCGGGAGAAGGGAAGCACAATTTAACTTATAATTTTGAGGGAGACATTGGGACTGTGGAGAAAAACTGCTTGGTACCTGTTCTTTTTTTTTCCAGCAGTGAGCCCAAAATTTCTTTTTTGTCCTAGCACTACTTAACATTTGGTGGGGTGCATAAATGGTGATAGGCTGTCCCCCAGAAAACTTTTCAGCTTCCTATAAAAGCTCACAGGTGGCTGCCACAGCACTCAAGCAGACTGGACACCCCTGGGCAGTGTGGTCTAGTTTCTTTGACAAGTCCACTAAAACTCCCTTTGCCAGATTCAAGCAGGAACCTGAGACCTT